CATTCTCACTTAACTTCAGAGTTCCTACGAAATCCGAAGCCAGTGAGCTCCCAAAAAGCCTCGTGCTAGGTAGGGATGGGAATATACATATAAGGATCACTCCCCTGGGCGATGTGAGATGTCACAGAAGATGCTAGCATTAAAGTTCAGAAAAATCGTCATAAATAATCAATTTTCAAATTCTAAACGCTGAAGTGGATTAATTAGTTTTTAGTACGTCATTAAAATTTAATTGTTATATTGGGAGTAGTCACACTATATATGACACACTCTAACCGAAATCAAGGCGTGACGGGCCCGGGTTGAGATGTGACAATATCAACAACATTTAATTGATATGTCTTGATATTCTTCTTAATTCGTGGAAGAACTACAATTTGATTTCTTATCATTTTAGACAATTTCTTAAACCATATCGTGTATAAAAAATAAAAAAAGTTGGCACAGGGAGTCGGGAACTAGAAGTTACATTTGCCTAAGAGCAGTTCCACCATAGCCTCATAGGCTGGCATCCAGCCCAAAAAATGGACCGGGCTCCCTTGTTTTGCTCAACCCTAGCCCAAGCAAGACCACAAGCTAGCCTATAATCGACAGACCTATGGGACGGCTCATCTGACGTCATGCTGACGCCAGCATGACGTCGGAGGCCATTAAAATTTTTTTTGCCCCAGGCGTAGGTCGCCGAAAGGAAATTAGAGGCGAGCCCACTTGAGCAGGCGCACTAAACCAAACTAATGGGAGGCCACGTGGCCCGTCCTAGGCTGTTGGATTTTCAATGGTAAAAAAAATTTTGAATTTGACATCGAATGGCTAGTGACATGGCTTGATCTAGACCATCCAATCCAGAGATTAACAGTCCACATTTTTCCCCTTTAAATTAAGAAAAAAAAAAAAGAAGGCACAACGGTCAGAATTATGACCATTGACCACGTGTCAACGCATAGGCTATTGGATTTGAATCTTTTTCAAATCCAACTCTCCAGATTAATTACCTAAATTAAAATTTATAAAAAATTAATTAAAATTTGTTAAAAAATACAGAAAAAATTTATTTTATTTTTCTATAAATACCTAACCCTCATCTTCCACCTTACACCACATTTCAATATTTTCAATATTTTTTACCAAAGCTTTCATATAATTTTTTAGAAAAAAAAGGACTACGTGGAAGTTCATCGAAGATGTTATGTTGTGTGAATGATAGGTTCACACTACTCGCTTCCAAAATGATACTTTTGGCTCATTTTCTGTCGCCATAAGCTCATTGCCACGCACTTGGACAATTTTTTCAAGTCCAGTGCATGCAGTCGATGCTTCCAATCATGGCAAGGAAGCCTCACATCTTAGCCCTCCTTAGAAGCCTTCGCATGTCCCTTGGCGTGGGTTTCCAGAGGTACTCATTGGTATATAGGGCTTCAATTGCAGAGCAAAACTGCATCAGGGACTCCATAATAGTTATTTCTCTCCATCCTCGCGATCTCTTTCACTTGATCTACAGATGCTTCATATGCAAGTATTTGCAAGGCAACCATAATTTTTTGCTCATGAAGAAGACCTAGAATATGAAAAACATCTTTTTTTTGCACAAAGTATGGATCATGGTTGCAAACAGCGCTCATGATTTTGTTGAACAAACTTCGTTGCATTCTAAAACGACTTCTAAAAACATGATCAGGGAATACCCTGTTGGGAATAAAATAATCTTCCAAGAGATCTTTACCTCGTCTTTCACCTTTTTTTCATCGAAGTTTACGGCACATCTGGGTTTGGCTATTTGACCCACACCTTCCATGACACGGCGGAAATGTGAGGCCCTCTACCTTCTATGGTCATCATCTTCATCCTCCTCCATTGCGAAATCCTCATCTCCACCTCCACCTTCCTCAAGATTGACCAATTCTTCCTGTTGTGCCAACAATCTGTTTAGTTGCTCCTCAAACTGTTTATGTACACTCTCCTTGAAGAAGACATTGTAAGAACTCAAGATTTGAAAATGATGTAGAAGGAATCTAAGCTAAAAAAAAAGATTGAGTTTGGTGTGAGGATGGATGTAGGGATGTAGGGTTTATATGGACAAAAAGAGAAAGGACGAGATTCTGGACAATGTCACGTGGCACTACGTAATTGGTTGAAAATCTTATCGAAATCTTGGCTAAATCATTGTAAACAGATAGTGACAAATGACTTATCGGGATTGGTTGAAAATCTTATCGGAAATCTATCCACAAAATAGTACGTTTGGATAATGACACGTGGTGTGACAAGATTGGTTGAAAATCTTATCGAAATCTTGGCTAAATTATTGTAAACAGATAGTGATACGTGGCGTGTTGGGATTGGTTGAAAATCTTAGCTGAAATCTACGTTCGGATAATGACACGTGGCGTGACGAGATTGGTTAAAACTCATAACCGAAATTAAAACTATTTTTTATGTATTATTTTGTAAAAAATTTAAATTTTTTTAAATGGACTGGGTGCCAGCATATTTTGTAGGGATGAAGATCATTTGTGCCAGCGCATTTTGTAAACTTTGTACCAGTGCATTTTTGAGGGATGTGAATGCATTTAGCCTATTATTATTTATTGAGGTATATCACTATTCACTGAATGAATTAAATAGATTGATGCTGACTTATATTTTTAGGGGTAGGCTTGCTTTAACATGCATCTTGTTTCCTTCCTTGCATATATAAACAAATGAAAGGAACTTTCGTTTATTATATTGTAAATTATTGGGGAGGTTCTTGGGAGTTGAATTTGGAGACCCCACCGGCGTGGTTGTGTCGACTTGGACGGCGATTATATTGTTACTTATTTGGTACTCATAAAACTTGATTATTTATAATTATGTTTTTTTTTTTTTTTTTTAAATTTTTGAATAAACAAGTACGAATGAAGACTGAAGTGGAAGCCACGAGCAAGAACATACAAATTCCAAAACTTATTATATACTGGTTAATTACAGGTTGCTTAACTGAGAACAACTAGAACCCTAATATAATTGAGGAAGCTAGTTAATTTCCAGCAGCAGCAACACCCACCAGGAAAAACAAAAAACGTACGTATAGCAAACAAGGAAAATACTTTTGGCATTAATGATGATTTCAAGATGCCCATAAAAAGCTATTTGATGAATCAGGAACTCGTTTGAAGTTCGGGAAAAAGTACCGCTAAACTAAGGGCTAGTTAATTAGGGTTTTGTGAGTCGAAATTTGATTGTATTGCATGTCCTGAACTTTGCCACAAGTGATCACTATATGAAACATATCTAATGAAATTTTGTTTTTGGTGAAAAATAACTAATACAAATTAGTAATGTTATGAAGACTAAATTTGTTAAGCTAAATAATGTGAAAGTTGATGATTGATAAACACGCTCATTTTCTATTGATGATACGTCATTTAGTTTGCAAATGTTGTTTATAAATTTAGTTTCATCAGCATTATACAATACACACTAATTTAATATAGATACACGAGCGATCGATTTTCCAAAAAAATAAAATTTTAAATAAATAATTAATACGTGTATCTATTTACAGAAGCCAATGAAGCCATGCATGCATGAACTAAAAGTGAATATTCCCATTGTCTAAGATCCCCTTGAAAATGTCCAGCAACGGGAACATCAAAGCGGCCGCGGATACGGGCACGCTGAGTGTAACAAGAGCAAGCATTCCCAACGCCACGCTAGGCCTAGTGTTCATCAATTGGGATTGCAGCAACCCCACGCCTTCGCAGATGTCCGAGTTGTAGTGTGCATAATATTGCTTCTCCCACTGCATCCAGTTCGACGGCGGTTGGTGATCATCGTCCTGCATCTCCGCGTCGTGAATTCGCATTCGAAGCACAATCATGTCCTCGTCCACAAGTCTGCCGTCGTAGTTATCATGACCACGCGACGACGCAGAAATCGTCATAGGACAACGCCTACGCCGTATTTCCAACAACCCCGTCTTTCGGTTACTGCCGGAATTGAGATGCCGCGACGGTGGCAGAGCTGGGTGGTGAGCAGAGATTAGCATTGCTGTAGACATGGTTACAAAGCTTGCAGCTTTTCCAAAGTTTGATGTATGTTTTTGTTTGCCAACAAGGCACGTACAAGGTACATATATATAGATGATACCAATGTGAGAGAGAGAGAGAGACCGCGTAGGAGTGACATGTGACAAATTGCGCGTGGCTTTTTTGGGGTTGGATTCATTGAACTTGAAGATGATTTGGCGGATAGGGGGGAGCCAGGAGATTGAACCCTCGAAGAAGTTTCTTGTTTTGGAAGTAATGTTGTGATGGGGACGGCAAACCAAATCTAATCCTTTGATTTTATACATTTTGCGTAACCGTTTTTTATGCGTGTCAGCAGCCGCCATCTCATTTTCTTTTCCGACGCACTTTCGGTTAAAGTTGGAAGATCTCATATGATAGTTATCAGTTAAAGACTCGTTTGAAAACGCTTTTAAAATAACTGTAAAAATAACTGAAAGAACTCAAATACTTTTTTAAGATTTAATTGTATTTTTACTAATGATTGATTTTAAAAATATTTTTTTATTAAAACGCTTTCAATTATTTTAAAAATAATTTCAAATGAGCCTTAATACACATCTTACGAAGACAGTTTGATCAATTTAGCACCGTATTTTAGAATAACTCAATCTTCGAAGCTACATAAAGAGATGGATGCCAACAGCGACATGACAATGTTACAAAGATTTGCTGTATAGACGTTTCTAGGTAGCGTTGAATGAAAGGCACGTTTTTAATTTTAATTTTTAATTTTTATGCCAATGCAACATATATATATATATATATATATATATATATATATATTACACATATTATAATAAGTCTACCGAGGCAGATACTCAAACTTGAGCTCAAACGAGCAATGTGCGGTGGTGGCTGTCGTAACCAACTAGCCTAATCTGTATTACATTGAAAACTCTGATAACATGGAAAAGCTTTTGCAAGATAAGTAATGAACTAATAGAAAGATAGTAGTGCAAATCATGCCTTTCTCTTGACACAAAATACTGAAAAAGATCCCACGGATATACGTCTACCGGTCGACGCCCGGTTGCCATGATCATATACGAAAGACATACATCTTCATCCACTGCAAGGTGGTAGCTATGATTTCTAAGTTGATTTGGATATACAATACAGCAACACGATTAATCATCGTCAATCGTCTTGTTTCATAGAAAATATGGCTCATTGGGACAGAAAAAGGCACGAGGCTCCCTTATTTGCTAACATATCTCCTTTACTTAGCACCTGTATGAAATAGATCAATAAATAGTGGCACATCTCATAACAACACTACTAATGCCTAAGTAATCACAAACCTTCTAGGACAAAGTCAATCGGAGGTGATTCACTTGGTGGCTGGTTTAATTCGACTTTTTCAACTGTTACAGGTTGTTCATTATCTTCATTTGGCTCGTTTTGTTCATCTTGTTCGGTATTTAAGAGCTCAAGTTGCACCGCTGGTTGGATTTGGTCAAGAGGTGCGGCCTCCAGCAGCTGGTGTTTCGGTTTGTTTTTCTGAAGGAGAAGGTAAGTGGTGCTATACCAAAACAACAGTATTCTACTTTGAGCTACCAATGTCTCCCTAATGTGACTTCCTCCGAAAGAGATGCGTTCAAGTGCCTGCAAAATAACAAGGAAACAGAGTAGAAGGTCTTAGATATAAAATATCAGTGACAAAATTATCTACTTCATGCGTAGTAAAAATATTCATATGAGATAGGATACTGATCGCAAAATCCCAACACCTATAGCTAGATATTGCTGTGGAGGAAGCATTTCTCAATCAACGATACTGTGTTAATTTTAAGAACCATACACATGGAAGTACAAAAATTCTGATAATAGTGCGAAGGGTTTACGGCTATGCTTCCTACATAGTATTAGGTTCTATTAATAAAGAGCAGACGGGTTCATTTTATTGAAAGTTCAAACAGGTTCCTCCTTGTACCTGCTCTCCGTTTTGAATATCGTAAGAATGCTGATGATCAAATTGAAGACCCCTAAACTCATTGATGCAAAGACCTTGAAAGGCCCTGAAAGTGTACAAGGCAATTATACAATCGTAAGGTAAAGGAGACAATACTTAATTGTATCATATGATCTATATAAGCAATCAATGGACTTCTTTCCTTCAGGAAAATGGCAAGTGATCTTTGATCTTACCATCTAATTAGAGAGACACTAGGAATCCAACGAAAGATGATTGGTGTATTCTCTGCATTGACATAATAGCCTCCAAATACAAGAAAAACTGTCATAAGTGAGGGTCCCACGGCCATAGCTGCTTCAGTGGTTGGAACCATAGCGCCAACAGTTAGACCCATAGCAGAGGCCGCAAAAGATTCCACCGTCACAATACCACAAAACTTCCCAAATCTAAAAGGCCAAAAAATTGCATGTAAACCTTGTGATCAATCTTAATAAGGTGGTATAATAAAATTTGCAAAAAGAAATTACCAACCAATGAACAGTAAGTATCCTATACAGGTATACAGAACCCAGACATTTTTAATTCCAACTCCTTTTCTACTCCCCGCTTACTGATTGCCCAATCACCCTGAATCCCTGATATGCATCTATTAATTTTGGCAAAGGGAAACCACTCAGCTTATTCATAATATACAGTCTAAAATATGGCAAGTACATGCTTAGGCAGATATTAGTTTCCACATGTCTGGTAAGGGATTTATTGCCTCTATTATTGGGAGCCGTGACAGCTTCCTTATATATTGTGCGTGCAGGTGTGATTCTGTGTTACGGTTACCAGATTGGTAATTGCGTCTCATACTGCAACCCAAATTAAAGAATTTACATAACACTTGACGATAACCTGGATATTCACTTGAAGAATTTACATAATACTGCAACCAGGAGGTTACAGAACATCATCTCATGTTGGACATTCATAACAATGATGAAGATAACCTGGATAAAGTAGGATGAAGACGAGCCATGGGGTACAAAATGGCGCCGAACATTAATGGAAATGCTGACCCAACAGGAATCTCAGCCAACAACTTAGATAGAAGATAGGGTCCTAATGTATAAGACCCTTTAGCGTGTTCTCTATTTACTATTGCACGCTCCTTCGGGAACACACCCACAGTCTTTGTGAGAGCAGCCATTGCTGTGTTTATTACAGCAACCTGAGAGAAAATATCCATAAGTAGGACCAAAGGAAGTTAAAAACTTATATAGAGACATTGGTCTTCAATAAACTTTTTGAATATTCACCTTATAAAAAAACTTTCATTCTTTTACATCTAAAGCTCATAATCATATAATCAAATTTTGTAGAAGGGATTGCCAATGCAGGAAACGAGGAGTGTCTCTATGCAAGTTGATTCAGGAACTAAAACAAGAGTGCTCATAGCCAGTTTTGCCAATTCACACACTTGATAAAAAAAAAATTAAAGGTAAAAAGGTCTCAAAATCATGTAGAAAAAAAAAAAATTCACACCTGAAGCAATCCCATTCTGTCTTGTATTGATGTCTGAGATCTTCCCATTCTCCAAAAAACTGACCCAAATATGACTGCTGATGCAACTGACATTCTTGCCCGAACTTTATTTGTTGGTCCATCACGAGAAGCCTAATCAGTTTGTTTAGTCAATCAGACAGAATAAGTAACTGGAGTTTAATCATAAAACAGCCCAATTCATCATTCAAGGTTCAAACACACCTCCACAGATGAATATCTGCCTTACTGTAGAGTTCTAACATGCTACTTAAAAAGTGTGGGTGTTAGGTTGATAACGAGTTATATTCTTAAAAAGCTTTGTCTGGCATTATAAAGGAAACAACTAAAACAATCTCTAAACCAAAGTGAACTAATTTACCATGCACATTGAGCTATTCTTGTTTTTGTCTGTTCTTGAGACTAATAATTAAGTACAAAGCAAAAGGTCTTACCTGCATCCATGCACGCTTTAGGAGCAACCGGAATTGCCTCCACCAACCTCCCTTCTTCTGAACTCTGTTTTTCGTGTTGAACATTGTTCCTTTGTTGGAAATTTCCCTTCTTGTAATGGGAGTTGCATAGAGAACTAATGATGCTTGTTGCGAAAATGATTCAACAAGAGCATCTACTCTTTTCTGAGAAGAGTAGACACTTTCGGCAGAACTGTAGTCAATGGATATGAGATCAGCTAGAAACTCCGCAGGGTTCACATGATCTGGGCAATTGTACCTGTTGGATAAACCAACTATTAGTTAAAACTTTCACAACTTTACAGCCACATATTGAAAGATATCTTCCTGTCTAAAAGAATGTGGCTAATATATTTACCCTTATCAAACTCTGGGCCACAAAATATATTGCCTAGACATGTCCCAATTGCAAAATCTACGTAGCCAATGTCCAATCATCCCAACTTAAGGTTTAAACCACATCTTTGTAATGAAGAAAGTTAATATCTATGCATGGTACGTGCGCAAAAGACAGTATTTGGTACCAGATATAGTCACCAACCCGAATTTAGAGAAGTATGCTAGTGGTTCATCATGTGCAGGACCAGCATAGACAAGTGCACCCTCTGTTAGCAACACGATGTCATCAAATTTACTGTACACAGAACTTCTAGGCTGATGTATGGAGCAGATTACAGTATGTCCATCCTGTGCAAGCTGTCGAAGGGTTTCCATTACTTTCTCTGCCTGAAAAGCATCAAGTCCTAGAAGCAACATAGGTAAGAAGGTATATTGTGTCAAACAATGTAAGTAAAAAGTTCTGCTTCCTGTTTCTACGAGAAAATAAAGAGACCATCTCCAGCAAATGCTAGCAATCGAGGCTTGCTTACCAGTAGTGGGTTCGTCAGCAAATATAACAGAGGGGCTTGCAATCAGCTCACATGCCACAGACAGTCGTTTCTTTTCACCCCCACTGATTCCTCGGACTTTCACATCACCAACAATGGTATCAGCACAACTAATCTATTGTGATAAACAAAACAAAACCAAAATTAAAAAACGAACTGAATAAGCTTACAATCAGTACCTTAATCATTTCCAATAAGTTCAAAATTCGTAAATTCTCATGGCTAGAAATTTTTATAGCAAAAAAATCAGTCATCAATGCATTCTTACCAATCCCAACTTAAACAACAGGCCGTTCACATACTCTAATCTTTCTTCGGAGGAAGATATCTCCGGAAGCTGCAGCTCCGCGGCAAGAGACAACGTCTCTCTCACCGTCAGCTGCGAGAAAAACAGGTCCTCCTGTCTCACATAAGCAAACCTTAACCCCCCAACACAAAATTAAACAAATGAGAACCATATAATCAGCACAAATTCCAATAAAAACCATAAAACAAGCCATGAAACTTAAACAAAAGCTTACTTATGGGCTTTGTTTGGACTAGGATTGCCATTGACCTCCAACAATCCCGATAAACGTAGCCGCGGTGACGCAGCAAGCTGACCCGCGAGTACATTCAGCAGCGTCGTCTTTCCTGATCCTGACGGCCCCATAATCGCCAGTAGTCTCCCCGGTTTCGCTTCTCCGCTTACGTTTTTAAGCAGAAATCGGACCTAAGCATTCAAAATTAAGGAAATTTAATCTTCTAGCCTGCACATTTTCTCGGTAAACAAACAGGTCGAAACGGGAAATTTCACATGAAAATTGATGAAAGATGGAAACTTACAGCTGCGGAGGATTTGTCAGAGAGGGAACAGTTGATGTTGCGCCACCGGATTGTGACCGGAACCACTTTTCCGACATCCGGAGTTTCGGCTTCGTCGTCTATCGCATCAGTGTAGTCGTCGCCGGCGTCAGCCTCTGGTGAGATTGCTGGGCCTGGGCCGGAGATGAGGCGGAGCAAGAGAGCTGCGGCGACGGCGGCAAGGGCCTGGCCCAGGCCGCTGCCGCCGATGCCTAATATCATCTGGCCCACATTTTTCCCGCCTGATTGAACCATTTCAGCGAACCACTGTCGATTTTCTTCTTTCTTTTGCTACAGCTGGAGCTGAGCTTCACGCCTGGCTTGTGAGTTCTGAGTTCGCTGCTTACAGTAAAGAGATAAAATCCGGAGTACGAACCCCAACGACGTCGTTTGCCAGAATGTTTAACAGAATGAGTCTCCCATGAGCGACGCGTGTCCCCTTTGAGGATAAGAGGGGTTTGGGCCGGACATTTGGGTGAGCCCACCACACACACGGTGGTAATATATACGGATTTGGGTTGTTCAATTTCCAGTCTTCCACGCATAATCCTACCCAAACCCGTCCGAGTCGGGTTGGTGCGAATCGAATTTATTTGTTGTCCCCAGCAAACTGTAAACACGCCTGCTGTCCGTGGAGACCATCCGTCGTCGTCTCCTTCTCCCACAATGGATTCCTTTTCCGCTCCAGACTCCACCTGAGTTGCCATCGTCGATCCGATCATCTTGCCATGTCAGCAGGGTGTGGGCCCCACCTCCGCCGTCTCCCTTTCGCCTGAAGCATTCTCCCTAACCAAACAATGGCGAGCAACTCCAAGGAAGAGCCCAAGACCGGCCCCCAGTCCAATCGCTGGTACAACCTAACCCTCGGCCCCTCCTTCAAAGACGACTCCGCCAACAAGTACTGCACTCTCCGATGTAAGTATTTATCCCGTCCTATCATATCCAGTCCTATACTGTTTGGTTGGGGAGAAAATCCACGTCTTTTTTAATTCCTTTCGATTCTTTTGATTTTTGGCCCGCAGATGAATTCAAACCGGCGTCGATCGACAAGACGAAGCACGGGGCTCTGAAGAAGTCCAAGGACAATAGGGTTGCGGTCGAATTTCAGAACAACCAATTGGGGAAACCCAATGTCACGTTCAAGGGGAGCAGCGAGGAGTACAAGGACAACGACGCCGTTTTGTTCTTTGACGGCCAGACGTTTCGGTTGGAGCGGCTTCACCGCGCCGTGAAGCAGCTCCGTCATGATCGTCAGCCTGGGGAATCGGCGGCTGGTATGGCCGTGGACCCGCAGCAGTCTCCAGTAGGCAAGGCGCCCAAGCTATCACATCAGTTTAATCCTGGTAGAACTGCATTCCCCGCCGTGCCGGTGAGTTATTGGTTATTGGAAATTATGATTGAAGATTGAATCTTTTGTTTTGGTTAATGGAAAAGCAGCTGAAATTTGCAATCTTTTGATTCGTTTTCTGTTTCATCAGGTTGAGGTGGAACGGATAGATGTTGGCGTGCCTGAAAATCCAGGTTCGTTTTCATGCTACTTTTTTCTTTTCTTTTTTGTTTTCAAAATAAGCGTATTCATCGGATTTTTAGCTTCTCAAAGAATGCTTTTCGATCTCTTGAGAGGATCGAAATTAAACTTCATAATTCCATGATTAAAGTTGAGTAGACATTGCTTGTTCTTTAGTAGCATTTCACTAAATGAAGCTCTGTATGCAATTTAGAACAGTACGGGCCATGCGTTCTCTGATAATGTTTACTTGTTCTGAATTTGATTGTGATCGCGATTTGGTATTGCAATGAATAAGTACTGACAAAGTCAAATTCAAAACCTTTTCGTATAATGATATTTGTGTTGGAATTAATCTCGATGCATTTACTTATTTCCTAGTGAAGAGGAGGAGTCCATTTTGTTCGAACTTAACTTCTTGTCATTTTTTTCTCCTTAGTAAAGATCAGTTGTTTTGTGTTATAGACTGGGGTGCTTAATTTCTTCACTACCCAGTGGCAATACACTTTCGGTGCACAATTTTGATGTGATACTTAGAGATCCACAATTCAATACCTTTTACTGTGTTTGAGATAACCAAGCCCAATTTATATTCACTTGGGGCGGCTCAAGGGGTCCTCTCAATCTTGCCCAATGGTTATCTTACATGTTAATTTTTATGTGATTACTATGTTTGTACTGCAATAGTTTACCAACTTAGATGTTACTATGTCAACCCCATTTAAATTTTGAAAACTTTGGAGAGGTGTTCATGGGCCGAGCTTTATCCATTTATTTAGTTCTTAAATCAAGAATGACTTTACAAAAATTAAGCAGTTAGTTTTTCCTGGACTCTAAGAAACTTCTTTTTACTTGTTTTTTTGCTGAATTAATCGGAGGGAAGCAATTGGGTAGCTAGATTCTTGGTCATATGATGACTGATCAGTCGCCAATTGTCTGTCGTACTACTTTGGCATGCTTATGTATGTGCTAACATGACCTTCATCTTGCCTTTTAGAAGTCTACTGAAAACATTAAAGTAGAAAGTTTCTATCTTGCTGATGTCTTTATTTCTCTGCAGCGTCTTGTCCCAAAGCTAATGAAGCAGCTGCTGTTTTAACTATTTTGTTTGCACGGTTATCGTATATCCTTATGTTTATTCATAATCGACAGGTGCGAAAACTGCCAGTAAAGGTGTGGTTGATTACCCATCTGATCAACCAAATGTATCTGCTGCCTCGCCAGGCCCTAAGAATGAAGAAGTTGACGACGAACACCAGGATATAGATATTGTAGACCTTTTTGGTAGTATATCACCAGACGATGGGAATGCTGCTGAAGATGAAGCCAATGCTGGATTTGATATCAATATGCTCCATCAGAATGAAAGTGACAATGAGATTGCTGATGTAGATGATAGCGGTGATGAAGTTGACAAGGGGCCAAATGCTGCAGAAGCCCTTCGAGCCCAGGTGATGAATACCCAGGGAAGGGAAACACACACTGATATTTTTGGTGACGAGGGGAATGCAGAAGGAAGGAAAACCGAGACTTCTAGTTCAAGTAGCAGCAGTGGAAGTAGCAGCGGAAGTGAGAGCAGCAGTAGCGGAAGTAGTAGTGGGAGCAGCAGCAGCAGCGGCAGCGGAAATGGTGGTGGTAATAATGCAGGCAGCGATGACGATTCAGTCAACTCCATCTGAGACATCAGGCAACTATAATCTTTCGGGAAAGTTTTGTCATAGGCAGTCAACAGTCCCAAAGATGTTTACGCAGGTAACCAGAGCTCGAAGAAAACAGAAGATAATACGTAATGTTATTTACACATGCTATTATTTTGTGAGAACGTGATAATGATGCCGCATAAGTTTTGTCATAAGCCATACCTTTGTATGGGTTCAACATTTCATTTGAAAATTTTGACAATAAAAGAACGTGCAAATTTTGATTCATAAAAAGCAAGAGCTTGGAGCTTTTAATATTTAGAAAAACTAATGAAAAAGGTTTGAAAACTTTGAGTTTCAATGATAAGGATAAAATAAATGGTAAAGTGAATAATACCAGATTAGATTTTTTAGTGTAAAAATATGATTTTTCGTTAAAGTAAACAGTACCGTGGGCATTTCGTTAAAACTTCCTTTATATTTTGATTACATTCGATTTCACGTTCCTTTGTGAAGCTTTTACTGGACCTACGAAAGTTTGTTTCGCTATTTTGCTGGACAGATGACACAACATCGGCATCTTATTAAGCTTTATTAACATTATTTGTCTTGTTTTAAAATTGAAAAGCTAACTTGCTAGTGTTATTATTCTGGAGGGATTTTTTAGCGTACCGACAAACGAAAAATATTTTCGTTTTCCTGTATCATAATAATTTATCGTCAATGGCTCTTAATTGCTCATGACATTCCTTAATCCATAAATAATTATAGTTAGTCCTTAAAAAGGGCAATTATGCTTTGGTCATAAAACCCACCAATCTTGAACCTGCCAATACTTGAAAAACCCAAATCGCATCGCTTAATACAGGTCACCAAATTTGAAGATCTCTATTTCCACCCACCAAATTTGGAGATCTCTATTTCCACCCACCAAATTTGCTATTTTATTTAGCTTCAGCTTTCGCGGTGGAATTAGCAAATCCCGCGAGTGAAATTACCAAAAGCGAGGGGTGGATGCAAACGCTTGTCGTACTGTACAAATAAGTGAATTCGGATTTTTGCCCTTTTTGTAGGATTCTAAGAATCCGTCAATCTTGTTTATTCATCGTATATCGTATGGTCAGAAATTATTTTAAATATTTTTATTTAAAATTAAATACAAACAATATTTAATAAAAACTGATCACACAATGCATAATAAAAAAATACGATTCACGAATTTTCAAAATCCTCGTAAATGTGAAGGATCCTGTTGGCAATTTTGTACCTAGGAAAAAAAGAGAACGAGTGCCACGCTCCATTTGACGAGCGTCGGATGTTAATCACTTCCAATGTTTTTTTTATTTTTGGGCACCTGAGAAATTAAATTTAAAATGAAAGACAGATAGAGTGTGAACTTGCACTTTTATGAGATCAAATCAAACAAATCAAAAGCTCCACTGGGAAGAAATCGATCAACTCTTTCTTCTTCTTCGTCACAATAAAATCCCGACCTGGAAACCCTAACCCTCGCTCTGTTAGACAGAGAGAGAGCAATTTTTATGGAGAGAGAGATGAAATTTCACGGTAGTTGATCCAACACATAACGAATAGTTGAAAACTGTTGCTTCTTCTGCGGCCCAATCTTTAAAGACCCAATCTTCAAACAGTTTCTCCACCGCCAACAGCCAGCTGAGCCGCCATCGAAACCGACCCACTATGGGAGCTGAGAAGAAATGGCTCCTTACGCTCTTCTCAGCCACATTCATCTCCCTCCTCCTCCTCCTCCTCTCCTCCATCTCCGCCTTCAGCTCCCCCAAACCCTTCCCTTCAATTGTCCAGCATGGCTCTCGCTACCCGCCCGCTTTTGCTTACTACATATGGGGCGGCCGAGGCGATAGGGCTCGGATCTTCCGCCTGCTGCTCGCCGTCTACCATCCCCGGAATCGATACTTGTTGCATCTTTCGGCTGACGAATCTGAAGACGAGCGCCGCCGTCTTGCCACCGCTATCAACGCTGTCCCGGCAATTCAGGCATTTGGGAATGTGGATGTGGTGGGCAAGCCTGATCGAATCACTTACATGGGGTCTTCCAATATTGCCACCACGTTGCGCGCGGCGGCGATTTTTTTGAAGGTTGATAGTGGTTGGGATTGGTTCGTCACTTTGAGCGCCATGGATTATCCACTTATCACTCAGGACGGTATGCCAATTTTAAAGATCGGATTTTGTTGGGAAATTCAATTTACTATTGAATATTTTGTTTAAATTGACTGAAGGAATCTGGCTCTTGGGTTGGGGAAAGTGATTATCTGGGGAAGTACTTATATGTAGGCTAAATAATACGAAAAGTTTCCATTTTTGTTAGAGCCATTTATATATAGGAGGGAGGCTGGCATTGCCCAGTTTGGGGAAAGTGTTTGATGTTTGTATTTCCACTAAAGTCCAGTCGATTTCAATTGGGTCAATATGGGGAATTTAGCTTGTGGCATTAGTATTTTCTGGTCCCTTATTAGATTCCTTGTTAGTACATATGACAACGTACAGCAGTGACAACGCAAGTGGCGCGCCTCTTTGACAATTCTGTGAAGCTTGTTTGTCTAAGGAGGCGATGGTTCACTTACTTCATTGTTGGGTGCCATGACATATTTCCCTCTTGTTTGGTGCGCTTGTTCCGTGTCGAGGCTTATTTGAAGATTTCATGGCCCAATTTGTTCTTGTTACTGTTGTTATTGTTATAGCTTTCATTGTGCTGTTTTTAACTTTTTATTGATAAATCACAAATCAGACCAACTTATTCAGTTCTGCTTCTGTTTTGTACTTTCAGACCTGTCTCATGTGTTCTCCTCTGTTAGAAGAGATCTCAATTTCGTTGATCACACCAGTGACCTTGGATGGAAAGAGTAGGCCATCCCTTTTGCTAAGTTTTGCTTTAGTTTTCTGAGGAACATATTTCTGGTTGGACCTGAACCCGTGTTTTAAAATTTTTTATATAGGTTGTACAGGGTCCAGCCAATTGTAGTTGATCCAGGGATATACCTAGCTCGAAGGAGCCAAATTTTTCATGCTACAGAGAAGCGGAAAACCCCTGATGCTTTTAAAGTATTCACAGGCAAAGTCTAACACACTTTTATGTAAGATTTGCCCATATGGATACGCTGTCCACGCGTTGAACTGCTAATTAGAAACTATTCGTTCCTGATTTGCAGGTTCCCCATGGGTCATCCTGAGCAGATCATTTCTGGAGTTTTGCATTAATGGTTGGGATAACCTTCCCCGGACCCTGCTTATGTACTTTACAAATGTGATGTTGTCCCAGGAAGGATATTTCCATTCAGTTATATGCAATTCACCAGAGTTCAAGAACACTACTGTGAACAGTGATCTAAGATACATGATCTGGGACACTCCCCCGAAAATGGAACCCCTCTTTCTCAACACCTTGGATTTTGATCAAATGGCTCGAAGTGGAGCTGCTTTTGCCCGACAATTCAAGAAAGATGACCGTGTGCTGGACATGGTTGATAAAAAGATCCTCAAGCGTGGGAGAAATCAAGCTGCCCCGGGGGCATGGTGCTCAGGCTGGAGAAGCTGGTGGATGGATCCTTGCACTCAATGGGGCGATGCTAATATCTTGAAACCTGGGCCCCAAGCAAAGAAGCTCGAAGACTCGATTACTAACCTTCTCGATGACTGGAATGCGCAAACAAATCAATGCCAATGAAGATGTCTGTATTGAAAATGTCTCCAGATACCCGGTGTGGTTTTCCAGCAAGCTAAACTCGATGATTAGTTTGGAAGATTGGCAACTGCGAGGATACATTTTTTGACCCCTAAGAACACACTTCTTTTTCTAGGTTCTTCCAGTCTCATGCTTGACTATTGTTTATAAAGGGGCGTGGGGGCAGAGTAGAAGGGAGAAACATAGCGAGTTAGGTTGAGGTATTGAGCTGTACCGTAGCATGGCGGGCTGTTATCGATGGTATGGCCACTGACAGGCTTGAGGAACCGAGTTCATAAGAGGCTCTCCCTCTTTTTGTGCTGCCATTCCATGATGTTGTATGTTCTGCTTCGGATTCGGGTTATGTTCGGACCTGTTTGAATGTTGGATCAAAGATTCATTCTTTCAACTCTAATAGGTTGTATCTTCTTCTAAATTCATAGTGAATCTCTTCACCTCTGATTTTGTTGCCAATTTTTTCTGCTCTGCATTTTTGATTGGGTGGTGCTTTCCATTCGTTCATTTTTACTTCTCACACTCTTCTCAATTTTCGACCGTTGGATCGAAAGAATTGAGGAAGATCAACAGACAAATTTTAGTAAGGGAATATGTGAATAGCGCTACCTTTTTGATTAACGGTGTAATTGGTGAATTGTCGTGTTAATTGATTTTCTTCTTCAATCTCCGTGACTCGTGTCTAAACCTTCCACCTTTCTATTTATTAATTAATATCACCTGTAACCAAAACATTTATAAACTCTACAAATATTATAGACTGAATCGTTCATTTTATTTGTGATAATAAAATGAACGGTTGGGATTAATCAGAATTAGAATTTAGTCATGCCGCCAAAAATAAACGCCCGACAAAATATAGCCGTTTAACCAAAGCTTCTTGGTTCTCACGGGGCTCTCAAATGGGTCTCTCCCGAATTTTCCCTCTTGTATCAAAACTATCCAAAAACTTCATTCGCAATCGAACACTCCCTACCGAAAATCCATCTGGGTTCCTCTGCAACCGCACTGCTAGTTTTCACAGAGCAATCCACGACGGTCTGGAAAAACCCCTAGTGATAGATGACGCCGGTGATAAAACCCCACTTCTCAAAAACCCCGAAGTCTCAGAAGATGCTGAGAAAATCTGTAAAATTCTATCCACCAGAAGCTCTAATTCCCCAATCGAGAGCTTCCTCGACGGCGCTTCAGTCGAGGCGTCGCCGACGCTTGTGGTGGAGGTCTTGAAGAAGCTCAGCAACTCCGGCGTCCTCGCGCTCTCGTTTTTCCGGTGGGCGGAGAAGCAGAAAGGGTTTAAGCACAGCACGGAGAGCTACAATGCGTTGATCGAAGCTCTGGGTAAGATCAAGCAGTTCAAGGTGATGTGGGAATTGGTGAATGAAATGAAGATCAATGGGATGCTGAGCAAAGAGACTTTCGCACTGATTTCACGGCGATATGCGAGGGCGAAGAAGGTTAAGGAAGCCATTGATGCGTTCGAGAAGATGGCGAAGTTTGGAATGAAGGTGGAAGGGTCAGATTTCAATAGATTGATTGATACTCTGAGCAAGTCGAGGCAGGTTGAGAGAGCACAGGAGGTGTTTGATAAAATGAAGAAGAGAAGGTTTGAACCCGATATCAAGTCGTACACGATTTTATTGGAAGGATGGGGCCAAGAACAGAACTTTTTGAGGTTGAATGAGGTTTATCGAGAGATGAAGGACGAGGGTTTTGATCCGGATGTTGTGACATATGCTATTCTGATCAATGCACATTGTAAAGCGAAGAAGTACGATGAAGCGATTGAGTTGTTTCGCGAGATGGAGGCAAAGAATATCAAGGCTACTCCTCATATATTCTGCATTTTGATTAATGGGTTGGGTTCTGAAAAGAGGCTGAGTGAAGCCCTTGAGTTTTTTGAATTGAACAAAGCCAGTGGTTTCGTACCGGAGGCACCCACGTACAATGCTCTTGTGGGGTCTTACTGCTGGTCGATGCGGATGCAGGATACGTTTAGGGTGGTGGATGAGATGAGGAAATGTGGAATCGGTCCCAATGCCCGAACTTACGACATAATCTTGCATCACTTGGCAAAGGCTCGAAGAACCGAACAAGCTTACTCCATTTTCCAGCAAATGAGTAGGGAGCCTGGCTGTGAGCCAACAGTAAGTACGTATGAAATCATGGTGAGGATGTTTTGTAACGAGGAGCGCGTCGATATGGCAATGCAGGTTTGGGATCTGATGAAGACCAGAGGAGTCCTGCCGGGAATGCACATGTTCTCCACATTGATTAACAGCTTGTGTCATGGGAATAAGTTAGATGACGCTTGCAAGTACTTTCAAGAGATGCTGGATGCCGGTATTCGACCTCCAGCACAGTTGTTTAGTAATTTGAAACAAGCGCTGCTCGACGGGGGAAGAAAGGATGTTGTGATAAGTTTGGGTCTGAAGATTGACAGACTGAGGAAAACTCCGTTAGTTGGGTTGCGCTAAAGAGTAATATCCAAGAGCCATTCTACATGTAGTGATGGCAGCTAAAGACTGATGTATTAGAGTTTTGGAGCTTATTTTTGTTTATCCAGTGTTCAAATTGTGGTACTATTGTTTGACAACGTTGCATATTACTTGGAGGAAATCAGAAAACGAAAGTTGCACAGATCAACGTTCGAAAACTACATCGAAAATCTTTTCAGGAAACACATTTACAGAATTCTCAAACATGAACCGGAATGAAGTTTACTGAACTGACAGATTTACATTGCATTCATATGCTCATCATTTGTTCCTAAATTTACATCACCATGGTGAAAAAAAAGATGCCGAATCTAGAAATCCAAAAAAGCCACGAGCCCTAACTCCGCAAATTGAAGAGCAGAAAGAGCTAGCATTAACAGAAACCGAGGCATTCAACTGAGATAACCAGAATCAAAGGAAACCCTAGCAAGATTGTTTATGGATGCCTGTAAGTAAAGAAATGGCTGTGACTAATCGTATTCTCATTGGCAGGGGAGCTGTTACCAAATTCAGGTGAAGCCACAGTCACTTGTTCCGGTCGCTCTGTTTCCTCAGTTCTCTCTGGCACATCAAGAACTTCACTTATTCCGTGCACCATAAGCCACCCATTGTGGTAAACTTCCGGCAAGATAACCGACACGCCGTTGAGCTTCAAGACGTCATCGGAGCGGGTGATATTCATCGAAAACCCCACCAGATTAGTCCTCAGAACCGTCCCATCATCCAAGCTCACCAAATCACTCCAAGAAAGCCGGCAGGGCACCACGTGGCGGTGGAAGATGGAGGAGTACTCGGTCAGGTTCCCGACCCGGTTCATCAGAACTTGGTCAAACGGAGCAAACACAGTCAGCATCGTCTGTAACTTGAAGAAAGAACCATGAAATTGTAGTTCAAGAAACGATGCCATGACAGAGCACCCTTTGGATCTCAGGGTGGCGGAGGCGTCGTTGAAGGGGACGTAACCGTCTCTGAGATCCATCGTCTGATCTGGGTTTTCCTTGGGAGCCAAGCAACCGAGATTCTTGGGGGTGTAGCCCTGAATAGGACCGGAAATCCGAAAATACGGATCCAAGAACCTGTCGATTCCGAAAATTATCAGGGACCCATCATCGAAAATTGGGGAAGCAGTGACGGTGACGTTGTTGAGCGAGAAGCGGTGATCGGACGGCAGAGTGGTGACGGTGAGAGTGCGGTCGGAGAGTAAAGTTGCTATCTTGGCGCCAAAAGGGAGGGACTTTAGCGATCGGAGAGAGAAATGGAGGGGTAGGAGGTGGTATTGGAGGAGGGTCAGCGGCGGCTGGCCTGAGTGAGCGAACGCGGCGTCGTTGGGGGCAAAGATGGTGAGGGAATGAGAGCGGGAACTGAGGAGGGTGCGGGAGGCGAGCTCGAGGGTCAGGGACATGGAGGTGTAGCCGGAATCTGAGAGGATTTCCGCGGCGTTGAAGAGGGTTTGGGTGTGGAGGGCGGAGGAGAGAGAGAAGAGTGAGAGGACGAGGAGAAGGAAAGACAGGAGGACCTTGGAGGCGGTCATTGACGGAGGTCTTTTCGTTTCTTGGAGTTGGGGAGGATTGGTTTGCAAATGAGTAACGGTTTGTTTGCAGAGTCGGAGACTCGGAGTGTGAATTTGTAAGGGGAGGTTGTTTTTGGCGGGTTAAGTTGGGACACGTGGAGGTATGGGATTTGTCGAGGTTGGGAGGGAAGCGAAAAGTTAGTTAAGGGCGTTTAGGGAGTTTTGTCGTGCGGATTAATTGACAAGTAATGGGCTGAGACCATGATGGTTTTGTTTGGATCGAGCTTAATGGGCCAAGTCCAATGATAGCCAAGTTGCCCGAATTTGAGAGATTTTTAGAGAATTGTAGAGTTTCTTTTTCTCCCGTCAGTGACTAGGGCAGTTCTCCACGTTGGTCAAGACTACTGTAAGATTCCTTTTTAATCACGAATTGGTGGTCTAATGGTAAATGATGGATTGCAAGATTTCTTTTAAACTAAATACTGAAGGTCAAGATTTGAAACATGTTGCTGGTGTGGAAGCTAGACTTGTGGTCAGGAGGAGGTTGAAATGCCTCTGTGAGTCTTCCCGGCCACTAGAAGGGACGGATAACCGTGGCTTGCCAGTAATTGTCTCCTTTTTTTTTTTTTTTTTATTTATTTTAAAATTACTGTGAGGTTTGTTGGGATCAAAATATAGACAATCGCGTATTCTAAAAGAGTTTCTTAATAAATACGTGAAGTTGGGTGAAATCAACATACAAATTTGTCTTCCTCGATCAGTAAGGCTGCGTTTGGGACAACTTAACTTTTTTTAAAAGCTGGGATGAAAAAAAGTTGTTGTCTGAAATGTGTTTGGTAACTCAGAAAAAAAAAAAAGCACTTATTTTTAAAGTTGCTGCCAGATACAACTGAAAAGTGGAAGCAACTATTTGCTGCTTTAAAAAAAACAGCTTTTTATTGTGAAAACACTGGTGAACAATACCTTTTAATGAAAATTTTCAAATGGCCATCGTACCCTCTCGCGTCTCACTTCTCACTTCTCTTTTCCTTGCTCTGGCATCTCACTTCACTCATTCATGTCCACTCATTCACTCCCAACTCCCAACTCGTCGTCCCAAAACCCAATCTCCAACCTGAAACTTTCTTCCTCCCAGCGATCTCTATCGTTTTTTAGGTCATTCTCCAAGTCGATCTATCTCGTTATCTTTTATGGGTTCTGTTGTTTTTTTATGAATTTCTGGGTTTTTTGCTTTTTTATGGAAAATGTGTACTTTTCTGGGTTTTTTTATTTTTTTTTGGGTTAATAGCTTCTTATGGGTTTAAAGAGCTTGTTTTAGACATTCAATTTATGGGTTTTGTTGCTTTGTTTGTTAAGCATGAAGCTCTATTCCCAGAGTCTCTCTTTTAAGTTTTTCCTGTTTCAATTTTTTTCTGTAGATTTGTTCGAATCTGGGGTTCATATATCTATAGGTTTCATTAATATATTGGTTCTGTAATTTACTATAATTTAAGGACACTTCTGATTGCATTTTCTTGCATTGCTACATTTCTAAGAATATTATATGCATTTTCTTGATTGTTTGGGAATTGGTTTCAAATTCCGGAGCCATTTATTACTGGGAAAGTTTGGAAATTGGAAGATTTTGAATCACATCCTGCTTACTGGTGAGTTCTTGCTTTGTGTTTTTCTTCAATGGTGTTTTGGATGGTTATTTTTTGTTTGATTTTCTTATTATATGTCATATTATATATGTCATCTATTGGATATTGGCAATTAGTTAGAGTGAATTTTTGGATTAATTAACATGAATGATGGGTTCTTAAACAACAAATCTTGAAGGAATATTCAACTACAAGAGGAGTGCCTTCGTGAACATGGATGCATGTGGTGCATGGTTGTCATCAGGTTGTGCTGTAAGGTGGTGTGTTAAGGGTTGCATTCTTATAATGGATTAATAAACTAGCCTCTAATTAAAAAAAAATTAAAAATAATAAAAATAAAAATGATTAGGTCATTGATTGAAACTTGATATAGAGATGCCTCAACTTTTCTAATTCTAGACTTCTAATGTGAAGGCTTTCACTAGTACAATACCCAGTTAGAATAGGATGACTTTAATCTATAAGCACAATACCCAGTTAGAATAGGACGACTTAAACATCATCTTGCCATGCAAAATAAAAGCAAAAGAGTTACCATTGTAAAATCCACCAGCTGAATGTGCAGCAGAGGGATCTTCATAGGCTAAACATGCGTTGCCTTTGTTTTTTCCAGACTCATCTGTTTATATTTTGATATTATATGGCCATTGATCCTTATAGCCATGTTTCTGCTTAATTCTTCCTACTTGAACAATAACTTAGCATTAAGTAACCAAATAAATGTATACCAATTTGTGGAGTTGACAAGGCAATTTAACTTGTTCCTACAACTGCTAGAGAACTGACCCAAATACACCTATCCTACTCTTAATCATCCTCCCTCTTTCACCATGGGGCTAACCCCAGTGGCTTGTCATGAGTTCCAATTTTTGTTTTACTCTTCGTCGTTGTTTTACAAGTACAGAACAAGGCTGCTACAACTATATTACGTTCACTTGTACAACATTTGCACTTGATATACAATGTTGACCCGTCTTCTTATAGTAATAGAAGGGTGAAGCACAAATAGGTGTCTTAAGAGAATGAAGATATGAACCCAATATTTAATCTTTTGTTTTATCAAGCAACACGATCTTAATGCTTAGAATAAAATAGAAGCGTCGTCATTCTGTATTTGCTACAGCTGGTAAATGATGAGCATGGTATTGCCATTGGTATGGGTTGTGGCACTCAAAGTATTGCCATTTGTAATGATATGCATGGTATTGTCATTGCTACAGCTGGTAAATGATATGCATGGTATTGCCATATGTAGCTGAATATTCATGGATTTTTAGATTACTTGACATGAATGATGCATCCAATACCACAAAGCTTTTAGTTGAATTTTCGTTCGAGTGTCTTTCCTTGTCCAGTTCCTTTAGCTGTTTGATTGTTCTGTGAATTGCTGTCATTTGTTCTTGTTTTAATATATATATATACACACACAACACACACAAATCAGTAGTTGGTATCGATGGCAAAGAAGGGGGCATCTTTGTTAAATCCTTCAACTACATGGAATGCCCACAATATATCTATATTTTGTGATGTTTGCATCAAGGAGGTTGAGGCTGGAAATCGTCCGGGCACTTACTTTAGCAAAGAAGGGTATGCAAATATTAGAGCTAACTTCAAGGCAGAGACAGGGCATGATTATGAAAAAGTGCAACTGAAAAATAAGTGGGATGCACTTAAAAATGAGTGGAAGTTGTGGAAAGAGTTAGTTGGTAAAGAAACTGGCTTAGGGTGGAATTCGAGCAAGGGTACCATTGATGCCTCTAAGAAGTGGTGGAATAATAAAATTCAGGTTTGTGTATCTATCTTTTAATTTGTATTATGATATCATGCAATATGTATTAACCATATTCTTTCTTACTTGTAGATAAACAAAGAATATGGAAAATTGCGAAAAAAAAGCATTAGTCCTGAGATAGAGGACAAGTTAGATAGGATGTTCTCGAACACAGTTGCTACCGGTGAACATGCTTGGGCACCTTCATTTGGAGTACTACCAGAGACAAGAAAGGAATCTATACGACAAATTGATTCAAATGTTGAGGATGAAGCTGAGACCATGCAGGATCTAAGACATGCTAGTAGGAAAGGAAAAAAAAGAGCGGCTAACCAAGGAGAATTGCAAAAAAAAAAAGGTTGATAAGAAAGGGAAAAAAATTGCAGGTGCTGCAAAACTTTGTGGTCAAATTGACCGTCTTGTTGAAACTTATGAAACTAGGAGTTCTGCAAACTCATTGATATCCAAACTGCATATAGGTTGTAGTATTCCGGATTGATAGTGGCTGTTGCACAAGTGCCTGGTTGTGAGCCACTTAGCGAGTTATGGCTGTTTGCTACATGTTTATTTTGTAGTGTAGAGAAGCGAGAGGTGTTTGCCACAATAAAAGATCCTGAAGTCCAGCTAACTTGGTTGAAATATATGTTCAACAAAGAACAGTAAGGAGCTAAAACCATGAATTAGGACTATGTGGTTTGTACTTTGCATTAAGATTATGTGTTGAATGTTGCTACATGTTTATTGAATGTTGGATTATATGTTGAATGTTGAATTATGATTTGTTGTTAAATGTTGGATTATGACTTGTTCTTGAATGTCGGATTATTACTTCTTAGTGATTGTTGGATTATGACTTGTGGAATGTTGAATTATATGTTAGGTTACATGTGTATCAATATGAACACCTCTGATGATGATCTTGAGGATTTGGAGGATGGTGTAATTATATGTGATGTAGCGACAGCGGTTGAAACATATTATTTAAAATATGTCTACAAAACTCCGTGTATGAATTCTTCCCACACAGGTAATATTTGGTTGATGGAAGTACTACAAGGAAATGATGTGCGATGCTATAGAATGTTTAGGATGAACAAAGATGTCTTTTATAAATTATCCAATGACTTGCAAACTAATTATGGATTGAAAGGTTCAAGGAAAATGAATGCAATTGAAATATTAGGAATGTTCTTGCATATGTTGGGACATTGTGTGAAAAATAGATTAGCGCAAGAGAGATTTCAACATTCTGGTGAGACTGTTAGTAGATATTTTGGTGCTATGTTAGATATCGTATGTAAGATGGCAATAGATATTATCAAACCGATGGATTTGGAGTTTTGTGGCATTCCCCAAGAAATAAGGAGAGATACAAGATACATGCCTTATTTTAAGGTAAAGTTTGACTCATCTTCTACCTTATTTGCAAACTTTAAGTGTAGGTTGACTGTTTTCTTCTATGTTATTATTTTTAGGATTGTATTGGTGCCATAGATGGAGTACATGTTGAGGTTTCAATACCACCTCCGGATCAAGTTCCATACATTGGTAGGAAAGGAATACCGACTCAAAATGTTATGGTTGCATGTAATTTTGACATGCAATTCACATTTGCTTGTGCCGGATGGGAAGGCACTGCACATGATACAAGGGTTTTTCTATCCATGCTACGGAATCCAAATTTAAACTTTTCTAAGTCTCCAAATGGTAATGCTCATACTTTATTATAACATTTTACGTACTTACTTTGTATAATTATTACAATAAAAAACAAAATTTTCAATTTTAGGAAAATATTACTTGGTAGATGTGGGGTACCCACAAATGAGAGGTTATTTGGGACCATATAAAGGTGAAAGATATCATCTCCCGGATTTTCGTAGAGGTGCTGAACCAACGGGTCATAAAGAGGTATTCAACTACATGCATTCTTCTCTTAGGAGCATCATTGAACGAACTTTTGGGTTATGGAAGAAAAGATGAGCAATTTTAAGGGATATGCCTAATTACCCGTTCAATAAGCAAGTGAAGATTGTCATTGCTACAATGGCTCTTCATAATTACATACGAAGGTTTTCTGAACGTGATCGTCATTTTGATGACCCCATGGACTTTTGTGAAGAGAGCGATAGTAGTGATGATGATGATGAAGAATACCAAAATTATCAAGTTGAAGGATCCCATGAGATAGAAGCATTAAGAAATAGAATAGCGGCAAGTTTGATGAATGCATCTAATTAGACTACTTTCAAGTACATTAACAATATTGTACTAATTAATCCTAGCTATTCAGTCTAAAATATTTCAATTGAAGTAGCTTGTCATATTAATTAATATTTAAGATAAAGTTTATAAATATTTTTCTTTTAAAAATAAAGTATATTTAGTAATTCACTTTTATTTGTTAAGAATATTAAATTAATAGCACATCTAGTATTATACTCTTTTTGGTCATTTCATACAGTCATAGCTGTTTTACATAAAAGTTTACCAAACACGATCATACTACTTTTTTTTTCCAAAAGCACTTTTACAAAAACATTTACCAAACACTATGCTGTTTTATTTCACAGCCGCTTATTCTCATAGCACAGCAGAAACAATTTTTTTTTAAAACACAACAATACCAAACCAGCCCTAATTATGCATGGAATTGCTTTGAACCCACTTCAAAGATCTCTAGGACTCTAGATATCTCGTTTTCAGCATTTCACTTACATAATTAATGGTTTGACATGTACTTAAATTTACTTAATGAGCTGTTTAGCTTGCTTAATTAGATGGTCGCACAAGCAACATATTATTTATTTTACTCGCTATTATTGACTTCCCTACCTAGGGTTTCTTGTACCAACCTCACATACCATATATCCATCATGCAGTTTTCTTCCTTACATATAGATTTTGAAATTATCTTGTAGTGTCTCTCAAGGTTAGTAATCCAATCGTTCTCAGAATATGACATATCGATATTGTCGTCATTTTTTAATATAAGTGACCATTAGGAAATGGGGAATCGAATTTGGAACTTAAGGCGCAAGGGTGAATATTGTTACTGATTGAGTTATAAAGCTCTTGCAATAATGTCGTCATTTAGTGTGTATGTTACATGCATAATATAATTAGTGACTAATTCAACGTTCTTAGGTTATATTATATCCAGCACCATACAAATATTTTCCTTTGCCACGACATCTGAGTATCAGTGAGAAGAGACTTATCCAACATCGCACATCTGAAGAGCTATGACCAATCGACAATAACACATCAGTAATGGAGTTTGCCTTCCTAAAAATATGACAAAAATAGATGTTCTGAAAACTGCAAGCCACCTTCTGGATATTGAAAAGTAAGAGAGCAAATCAAAGAGGAGTTAAGGCCATCTCCAATCGAAGGGACTAAATTTAGCCCGTCTAGATTATACCCCTACAAAAAAATATTTTTTTAATGAATAGTATCATGTCATATCTATATACAATTTCCAGCCGAATGGACTATTTTTTAGCCTCCTCAATAATTTATTATTTTAAGTTTGTTCTCTAATTTTATCGGTTAATCGAATTAAACTACCGTATTAAAATAAGGTTTCCAAACATATTTTGAGGGTCATTTGTCCCTAAATGTTGTTTTAAGTTTCATGTTATTAAATATTTTAATTTTACTTGCTTGTTAACAACTTATACATTAAAATGAGGTAAGATAGTATGGGAGGGTGAAAAAGATGTGAGAAATGGTGTAGAAATGACTTAGGTATTTATAGGAAAAAATTAGAATTTTTAACTTTCGTCTTAAAAAAAATAAAAATAAAAAGGCTACATGACGTCAGCTAGCAGCATAGCTAGGCCCAACTTTCAAGGTTGGTTGGCTGGCTAGCGATTTGGCTATATTTTGGCCTGGTGGATCCCACATTTTTTGGCCCAGCCCTCCATTAGAGATGGGTTTTATGTCAAAACGGGTTATGTTTTGACCTATAACCCTTTGGCCAGCTCGATTGGAGATGGCCGAAGTCTTCCGGCTGAGCAGCTGCAACCTCAAGATCTTCAAGCCAATTTAATAATATTTCTGGTTACGTAGTGTTCATATGCATCTTCATCTTCAACCTCATCTGATTAAGATTTAATATCAGGCATTTACATGGTTGTGTGTGTCCTAAGTACGACTAGTCCTATAATCTTGCTATCATTCACGGTATATTTATTAATACACACACACACATATATAAACAGAACAAAAAATCAGTTGGAGATTGATGTGATGAGCATTTTATAATATTATGGGAAGGGAGTTTGTCACGTTGATCATGTGATGATCTCAACGTATCAGATGAAAACGAGTGCTCATCAAGTTTTAGTTTCTTGTATGACAAGATCAAAACGTTTTTCACAAAATATAAATATATATTATAACGTGTAACGTTGTCTGTGCATTACATAATGACAGTAGCAGGCTAGGGATCGATGCACGTACACGAACGTTTACCAAAACTCCAGCTCACCCGATCACCTCAATTGTTCAATCATGCATCATCACTTCCACTTTGCATAATCCGTTGTTTTCCAGTGTATTTCCAAGATCTGGTCCCATGTTTTTACTTAATTGAAAATTAATCTTTTGAAAGAGATTCCAAAAGTTTTTCGAAGGACTCACATTGCAGCCAAGTCATTGGTGCTAGATTTTGTTGTTAATGTTGTCCCGATGATGACGCGGTGGATGCTTCAAAAGTCGAACAGCAAGATAACTTGCTCAAATTAATGATCCTTTTGCACTCAAGTAATAATTTTGGTCAATCTACAGCACGTCGTAGTAGTACGAGTTTGTTGTGGGCGTTTAGCTATAGCTTAATATGACTTTGTCTCTTCATAATATAGCTACACGGTTTAAAACAGCCTACATGCACATGAGATCTTGATTTCGAATTCCCTTTCTCTCACGCTTGTGTACCTAAAAAGGTTGAGAAATGAGAAGTTACATGCAAAGTCATGATCAAATGGAAGAAAGAATCAAAATTCTTGGGTTACCACCTACTTAATAATTGAACCGCTAGCTCTTTTTTCCGGCTATACTCCCAAAATTACTCGTTTCATGCTTGTGTACCATTATAATATTTATACCTTTTGTTCTTCCTAAATTGTTTTACAACAAGTAACGGAATAAAAGACAAACTGACCATGAAAATAAGTACACGAACACTTCCTCAATAATGCATGTAAATTTGGAAATTTAAAAGAAGCCCGTGCTAGGTAGGGTTTCCATTGTGCCAACAATCATCACTGCATGTTGAGTTGGCTCATGCCAATCACTCGACTACATAATTTCAAAAAATTACATGCATATATACGTACATGAACTATGGAGCTGGAAGTAGACCTGTAAAATAATGGGTGATTAAAGTATCTTATTTTAACGATTCAACAGGTTAAACATTCACACACACACACACACACACACATATATATATATATATATGTATGTATGTATGTATGTATATATATATATATATGTATGTATATATATGTATGTATGTATGTATGTATGTATGTATACGTATGTATATAATTTTAACGAGTGATTTGAGTCGGGTTATTGGATTGGATCCTAAATATCAGGTCTAGCTGGAAGTTCGCAAACCATGAAAATTTCCCCGAGTGGATGTGATATAAGCTTAGGTTTGGCTAGGTTGACCGAGACTTATTTTCCAGCGATGTCTCACCTAAACTCTTGAATAATTGGACCCATACGTCCCATAAATCCCATTGTTTTGCTGTGCTCGGTCTCAGGAACCATACAAAATTTAGATTTTTGCATGACATTTATCATTGCATGTTCGTTCTCCACCTCTCAGCTCCCGCATTGACTAATTTCGGCGAGTGATGTGGTCTCGATGTTCATATGAATTGTGAATTTTGTGTGATTTGGTATAGGTTATTTAGTTTGTCGTTTTTGTGACATTATATGTATTGATGATATCTGTTTAATAGGAAAATATCTATACATATTAACTAACTAGATGATTTATTCAAAATTCTATAAATCTAATCGAAGGGGTTTTGTTAAATCTCTCTTATTTAATTTGATTACGCGTAAACCAAGTTCACGCTGGACATTAACATCATTAATAAATTAACTGCTATAGAACAGTTCCCTTTCTTTGGACTCAAGAAAACAGCAAGACGACAGCCTCCCAATCCCATTAAGCTGTCAAATATGCAAAAGACCAACAAGGCCGCTCCTCTTCCAGAAATATCCCTTTCATTTTATCTTTTTCATATTTTTTAAAATTAATAGAAAAGTTGCTAATTTGATTTTGCTTTTTATTAGTGGTCTAATTTTTGCCAAGTTGTTGGGCATGAGCCATGAGATCTTGGAGAATAGCAGAAATTGAGGACACATGTCATTACCTTGTGCGCTATGTTAACTTTTTGGTTAAAGCACAACTTGCACCCTTATTATAATTAATAAAACACTTATTATCAACTAAAATCCTATAAAATTAGAAGTTTAATTCTCTAATTAAAACAAAATATGAATAAGAAATATGGGACAAAAATGTAATTTCACACAATCAAATTTTGCTGTTTTTTTTTAAAACCTCATCTACATATAATCCTAACATATCTCTAATTAAATAAAAAATAAAAAAAAAATTCTCATTCTCACATTCTCTACCACTCTCTTCCTCTCTCCTTCTATTTCAAAAACAAAAATAAATTTTTTTCTCACACACTTTATGTGTGCCCATATGCTAGTCATGTTTAAACTTCTGTATTTAGTTTGTGTGTGAACTCTTCGGAGAAATTTTTGTTGTGATGGAAACACAAGTGGTATACCACATGTTTTAATAAAAATGGTGAGAAATTTTATTTTTTAAGTTATTAACTTTTTAGCACACATATCTTACCATTTGTATAGTAACATGTGGTGTACTACCCTGTGTATCAGTCACACTGAAAAATCTTTCAACTCTTCGAGGTTTGTATCTTTACTTAATACATCAATAAATTCAACCACACTTGATTTTTTTTGTTAAAAACTTAACACATGTCAATTAAGTTGTTCATTGTGTAGTTAGCCAAATTCATTTTTTCCTTAGCGTAAAAATATCGATGTACTGAAAAACATATGTCAATTAATGATAAAAATCATGTAGCGACAACGTGCAAAATATATGCAAAAAATTTGACGTGTCTTTAATATAGCTAGGTTCTCACATTGAAAACGTAACCTATTTATTATAAACATAACTAATGACTTGTAGGCATAGATTATTAGGTGAGGACCAAGTCACCCTACATTGTGTTTATAAATATGTCTGTGCTGACCCCAAACACACTGCCATTGCAGCAGCAACACACGCATTCTCTCTCTCTCTCTCTCTCTCTCTCTCTCTCTCACACACACACACACACACGCAAAAAGAAACTCAACCCATCTCAGAATTATCTAAGTGGTGAGAAATGGGTGTTCTGGATGCTGTTTCGGACTATTTCACAATCTCTAAACCAAGAAAGAAACGAAAGCCAATGCAGGTATACTATAAGTCATCAAAAACCAAATCAAAATCTCTGTTTGGCTCGTCATATTCTGCTCTAAGTAGTAGTTTACATGTGCCTTAATCTCTTACGATAAAACTTTTCAGTGGCTAAACACGCAACTAATCACATCTCCCTCTGTTTTTAATCTTGTTTAATTGTGCAGACGGTTGAAATCAAGGTGAAAATGGACTGTGATGGCTGTGAAAGGAGAGTCAAAAATGCTGTTTCTCACATGAAAGGTTCGAACTTCAAACCTAAACCTCTCTCCCTCTCTCTAGACATGTTATTTACTATAATTAACCCTAACCGCAGCCTGATTAAGTCCTTAATTAGGAACCCATAATTAAAAATTTTCTCATAAGAAAGAAAAAAGAAGCATACATGCATGTGATGATCATCAGAGCGTGGACAGGGAGACAGACGAGCATCCTCGTAAAGCAAAAATCTCTGCAACTGACAGAAAATACTTTGACTCTCTCTTCTCTTTCTTTTCCACTATTCAAAAGAAAAAAAAAACATCTGACATGGACATGGTCACCTTTTTCTGTTCAAATCATCAAACATAATAAATGAAAATACAAAATCAACTTATATTCGTGCTACGAAATCTTCTTAAGATCGTGTAATCTCTGCTTTAGATGTAATCATGTAACCCTTGTTAATTAAACCTAGTTAGATAATTAATTAATACAATATTCACGTTTTATTATGAATAAATTCAGGGGCTAAGCAAGTGGAGGTGGACAGAAAGCAGAGCAGGGTGAAGGTGACGGGATACGTGGAGCCAAACAAGGTTTTAAAGAGAGTGAAGAGAACTGGGAAGAAAGCAGAGATTTGGCCGTACGTGCCTTACAACTTGGTGGCTTATCCTTATGTCGCCGGGGCTTATGACAAGAAGGCTCCCTCCGGCTACGTGAGGAACGTGGCTCAGGCACTTCCGCCCCCGGATGCGCCGGACGAAAAGTACACCTCAATGTTTAGCGACGAAAATCCACATGCTTGTTCTATCATGTGAAGTAATTAGATTAGACCACTGTTATTAACTACTTGTATGCGGACTATGATAGATCTATGTCACTTCGTGCTTTGAGTTTGTAATTAGGTTGGTTGGTTTGTTTAATTTCCTCCTTAATGTTAATTAGGCTTGTACTTAATTAATTAGATGATGATCCCTTTTGGGAAAACACTTTGAGTGTGCAGGTAACTTTGTCACTAAGTTATTATTCATAAAATTCATTGACCTAAACACGCGTACTATAACTAAATCAAGTGCGATCAAAGTACAAAAAACATGTATATTGTTTTGAAAACTATATGAGAGATGAAGAAATTTTAACATATATTGTTTTGAAAACTATATGAGAGATGAAGAAATTTTAACATATGGCATTCTGAATCAATTATTTATACATGCGGAATTATCATATTCGTTATTAAATATAGAAAAACATACAAATATCTTACAAATGAGGTGATCGGTCGTCCTTATTTTTGTCTTTCCCTTATCATTGGATATTTAGGTATGTTTTGGTAACAATAAAAGGGCAAATCAAGGACAAAATATTTTGGTAAAATCGTACGTACCCAACAGCATAAAATAAAATCATTCGAGCCCTACCATGTGTGTTTGCGAACGAAAACAATTGGATATTTAGGTATGTTTTGGTAACAATAAAAGGGCAAATCAAGGACAAAATATTTTGGTAAAATCGTACGTACCCAACAGCATAAAATAAAATCATTCGAGCCCTACCATGTGTGTTTGCGAACGAAAACAATTAGACAATCAAATCAGTCTCTTAGATACGGGTATGTGAGATCTGAGCTGTGTGTAAACGAGTGGCGGAATAATTGTTGGATCTCAAGTGTTCTTCCAAAAGAACAAGTCTTTTTTTTTAATTTTTTGAAAACCTTCTTTATGGTTTTTTTAATTATGTGTACACTGATGTTTGCATTTGTGCCATACCAACACCAATCATTTTTTTTTTCTTTCGAAAAGTAACATTCATTTAGCCAAAAAGAGTTACAGGCCTATCCAAAAGAAAGCAAAGTAACACAAATTATATTAAAAAAATTCAGAAACACAAACGCCCCAACCCAATAAACAAACAAACAAAATCTAAAACCTTAATCTCTATCTTCCAAGCGCAGATAGAAGATGGAAGAAAAATATGTCGGGACTTTTCATCCTCTTCATTGGGAACTTTGGAATAAGGTACAACCGTACAAGTGCTCCATATGCAAAACAAACTTCTCTTACATTTGGCATATTTAGGCAAAAATACATTGGAAGAATTTGATCACTGATTCATAAAATCTATAAGTTTATCTTTTACTAAATTTTAAGACTAAATTGCAAAAATTAAATATTATTTCTCCTTCTTACTACTCATAATTTATACCTCAATTTTTTCTTCTACCTTGATCATAGACTAGATGTGTTAACTAATCTATATAGTAGACGCTATATATATCACCATATATACTAGTATGGATTTATAAACGTAGGAAGTTGAATTTTTTTTAACTATTTTCATGAATGATAGGAAATTAACTTTTATTTATTTTCGTAGATAACTCTTTTACATTTATATATATTTTATCAACTTATGGCATGAGTATCATATACCACACATAAATTTTCTTCTAATTATTTTTCATGAAAATGGTTAAATATTTATATTTAAATAAAAAAAAACAAGAACCTTAATTAAAATTTAAAATAAGAAAAATTGGACTAAATCCAACAACAATTCAAATTTTCAGACCTGAATCAAAGTACCCCAAATAAGGATCAATACATATTTAATATATGAGTGAGCAATCGATGATAACATATCTATTTTTGTTACAGTACAACGAGTTATCTCTTAAAACTGGGTCATATATGGATATAGTCGGTGCCATACCATGGAAATGGGATACATATGTTCAGTGAATCATACTGTCCTAAGCTTCCAGATAGATGCCACGTGTAACAGTCATCTCCACTTACCTTATCTATTGTCCACCTAAACTTTCGGTCCAAATTAAGAGTAAGATTATATAGGAGTTATATAGGAGTTGCCACCTGGTAACTTGAAAGGATAAGCTGCACGTAACTTTCACTACTCCACCTGCTTTGGTCGTAACTCGCATACAGATATAACAAGCACTGTGAAGATTAGCCTCCATGGCCCAAATTTTTTGCTTAGCTGCCTGCATGAAATCCATATTTATTGTATATAAAAATATAATCAGTTTTTTAGGTCATACCATATTTCTATTTGTATTCATCTGGAACATGATCAGATTTTGAAAGACACATTAGTCTTGTCTTGTGATTTCGTCCCTATCTGGAACGTGGCAAGCTCATAAGAGTTTTCTTAATGTTGATGGTTTGAGTAAGCACAAGTCAGCATTACCTCAAGCGCAATACAATAATGGTGAATATGAATTGACGCCACTCAGATTTTATCTCCACTCTCCAGTCGACTTTGAAACGCCAAGTCGAAACCAACAGAAAACTATTAAGTATTCTAGAAAATACCGACACGATTAGCGAAGTCAATATGATAATTAATAGATAATGCTTGATTATTCAATGATGAATAGAAATTCTTATTTAAAATTCATCATGTTCAAATTATATAGCTTTGTACTTGTGATCATAACTGTTCATATTATAGATGGTTTTGTAAAGATTACCTAAAATTAATTAAAACTATGATCATTTAGACTATTGTAGCAAATACATAAACGGTTCGTAATACTTTTACTAATCCGTTCATCTATTTTTATACAATTCAATGACTAAACAACCCTTATTTTAATTGATTTTTTGTATATGCAATATTGATAGAATGATTTATAATATTAAAGATTCCGACTATAAACACAAAATTTTATAAATCATTAACAAACAATTTTGAGTAGAAGCACTCTGACTCATCTTTTGAGTACCCAAATATTGTTTTAATCAATGTCGTATATATACTACTTATCCTTTTTCGTTGGAGAAAATTTACATGTATTCGTTTTGCATGCAACATCTTTATCGCGTATGTTGCATGCAACCACAACGAATGAATACGTGTGTTTTCGATATTTTCATTTTCGTTTACTATACGTGATTCTTCAAAATATGTACCAACAATAAATTAAACTTTTTGTTGTGTGGATGCTGGTACCCCACTTGTCCATCGAATTTTGTAGGTGGTCTTGGCCTGAAGGCCTCGTCCCCCACTGTGTTGAGTTGATATGCGGATCCCTTCTTGGAGTAGTGTAATTGTTTTTCACTCGCTTTATGTGCACTGTGGTGTCTTTGTTTGTTTTGGCTAGATTGGTCTTCGTCTTTGTGCAATGCGTTATGTCGTCTGTCAACAATGATTTGATGTGGTCTCACTCTACCGCGATGACTTTATATGGCCTCGCTACTCAGCGATGACCATTGCGATTGTCTATATTTCTCTATTGCGGCTATTGTGTATTGTGACAAATCTGTAGTGGTGGAACTTGTGAGTTTGGCGATTGTGTGTTCGTGCTTGTGGTAGTCTACTAGGGGTTTACTTTTATTGGTCTATCTGCGCAAATTCACTCAAGATCAATTTATTGGTCACTAAAGCTTTGTACCCACTAACACCCTTGTAATTGTTTGTGTTGATTAATGAAATACCACACTACTGTTTATTGTGAAAAAAATAAATAAATAAATAAACCTTTCTGTTGTGCGTTGGGCAGCGAAAAGCAAAGCATTTGGAAAAAATAAAGTCATCCAATGAAAAATATAATATGCTCCTCAGAGGCTTACCAATTTACGGGCAAAAACTTTATGCTCATGAGCCAATTAGTTCCTTTTTAAAGTACTTTAGACGAAGTTTATGATTGGTGGGTGGGCACGTGTTTCGTTCTTGATTGAGATGCAGGTTCTTTGGTAATGTTTTTTTTTTTTTTTTTGTTTACTAAACATGTCAAAGAATCTGCATCTCGACCAAAAATGAAGTATTCAATCAAGAATGAAATTCTTTGGCATGTTATTTTGGCTGGAAAATGAAAAAAATATATATAGATCACAATCAGAATATAGAAAGGTAAGGGATATTCGTTGCGTTCACCTTTGGATTTTGGAGTTTGAATTGAAAAAAAAAACGGTTACTTTATATATACTTGTACAAGATGTTCACTTCATTTTATGATATATTCTTTGAAAAGTGAGCCTTAAAACGATATCGTTTTTGCAATCTTGATCATAATATCTAATGTTGGTCGAATTTTATGTTCCACTATTTAATGCTCCAATTATTACGCACGTAGTTTACTAATTGTTGTAAGTCAAATACATTAAGTTAGATTTGTCAAATTTTTTTCAACATATTTAACTTCTGAGTTACGTATGTAAAAGTAAATTAGACGTTTTTGAGGTGTAAAAACACCATATGCATTCCTCGATCTCAAGCGCTGAATCCGTTAAAATTACGGTGGAGTGCAATTTGTCCTTAACAATTAGTAAACTACGACGACTAATTACCGCATACTGAAACTACACGAACGAAAGTGAAACTTTGCCTGAACTACAACCATAACCGTACTTGGGCTATGCTAGGTTCATTCATCTTATGGCCTATAAAAACCCAATACTAAAGCTGGGCCACTGGTATGGGCCTAAAAAGAAAGAAATGGTGGCCGAATTGGACCTTTAAATTGGTGATAGCAGCATTTACCAAAAATAAAAAAAGGGGTAGCAGCAAGCACAGTGACCAAACCTTCGCCCACGCTTCCACGCCAGCCCTATTGTGGATTATAATTAAAAGGAAAACTAATGAAAATGATATGAAAACTTTGAATTTTAACGATAATGACAAAATAAATGGTAAAATGAATAGTACCATGATTGATTTTTTTAGTATAAAAATGTGATTTTTCGTTAAAATAAATAGTACCGAAAACTTTTTATTAAAATTCTCTATATTAAATTCATCGGAATTGCGAAGAGGGTGCTTCTAACATAAATACGAGTAAACTGTTTCGGTCAACTTTGCCTAAACTTTGATCAAAATATTGTCCAACCAGTCTGTACATTTATAAATAAATAAGTACCAAATTAGTATCTTTTTATTTTCTAGAAATATAACCATAGATAAGCAGAATTTGAAAAAGTGGAATTTAGATTCTTTACAAATCTCGAAGTCTAGAGCCAACAGGCTGTGT